CAAATAGGCAAACGGATACACTCACAATCAGATAAATCGTCTGATGACCCCTTGAAAAATCGAAAGAAGTCATCAAAAACAAAATATTTTCACAAATAATTGTGTTGAATTTGTTGTTAACAGTTTTTCGTGATACTAAATTCATCGTCTCAGCACAACTCAGAGCAGTCAAAAATTTCATTTGTAGCATTTCATTCAACATAGTAATCAACTCTCTGAAGTCAGCGGTTTAACTTCGTCTAGAATGATTGATTATTTTGAAGAGGATTTTGGATTCATGCGCAACTAACTAGAGTCTCTTTCAATTAATCGCCCGCCTTCGAAAAAAGCAAACCTCATTGCCCAAAAAGCAACCTCGCTCAGATTACTTTTGAAGTTGCTTCTCTATATTCGCTTATTTTGCAGTCTGCCAAATGCAGTTTGAAGCAGTTACGTTGAGAAGACAGAAAGTGGTCATTCGTTAATAGGTGTGTTACTATTCATATAACATGAAATGAATGAACCGGATTAACCAACCGTGCCAGAAAGTAAAGGAATAGTAGAAAGAACAACGTAGCGAAAAAGCCGTTTCCGAATGCCTGTGTTATCATCACCGTTCTGGACTGTGAGGAATCATCATAGATATCGTCGACAATCATTGACTGCTCTTGATCGAACGTTCGCATTTCTTGCTGATGCTCGTAAGGATACTGCATTCTGAAATCTAAACTAAACAGGGGACTGTATTGCCTTCCTACGCATATATAGACGTAGTTTACACGCAAGTAGAATTCGATATTTAGTTTTACCGATTCACTGAAACGAGTTACATTCGACGTTTAGTGTTATGCTGAATTCCGGTTCTGTTCGATAAATACGAAAAAAACATTCAAAAACATGCATTAGAACGGACTGAACTCTAATGAACGTAAACACTGAAAAAGTTCCCTCATTGTCGCTTGATTTGAACATTTATCGTTAAGAAACCAGAGAATTCTCGTTGTAGAATGTATCCTCACGTAGCTCATATTTCTTGTCAAGAACTATGGCTATATGAATTCTACGGCGATATAAAAATGAATAATTGATGCAAAAGAGGTCTGAGCATCTATAATACACGCTTGTATTAAGATTTCCATGTTCACAGTGAATAAACGAGTGAAATTCATTTGATACTGATTTTGACTCTAATGGTGATTATGAACTTACATTCGAGTTGAATTGAGGAAATAGCTTGAAAAATAGCTTGAAAAATAGCTTGAAAAGTTAGTTGAAGTGGAATGGATTGAAGGAAG